TACGTTAATTTTAAAAATTAATAATTGATAATAAAATATATCTTTTAATTTTAATTCAGAAAAATATAATGATATTTATGTTTGCTAACTTACGTTAGTTACTTACTTACGTTCATTAGGTATCTAACACGATGTTATAAGAAAAAGGATTAATATTTTACGCCATAAATTATCTATGGTTAATTCGAATATTGATTTTGTAGAGTTAGGAAACAACGTGACCATACATTCTGTACTTTGTATCAACGTATTTATTTTACATAAGAAACGCAATTTTATAACATCTTTGTATAACGATGACTGAGCCATTGCATGAATAAAACAAAAGTTGTTTCTAATGATGTAGGTATTGATTGAGTTGCTATGTTATTTATATAACATATTAATTTTTAATCACAGCAAACTATACTCACATGTATTTACATTAACATTATTATTCCCGTAAACAATATTTTTAAGAATAGAAAGTAATTCTGCATATAACTCAGCTACCAAACTAAGCATAAACAATTTAAGATACTAATATGTACTATATCGGTACAAGAAGACATTGTTAGCAGATGACCTAATAAGGTACTGAAAAGATCGAAATAAATATTCACACGAGTTCACGAGCTCGTATAAGTGCCTCATTTCGAATGGACAACTGAGTGATAAATTTCAAGAGTACCAGTATAAACCAAACATCAGAAAATTTGTCCGATAAATAACAACAGAGCAAACATTTTTAACTCCTTGCCCTATGATTTTTTCCCAATTACGCTCAACAGAGATATTTTATTGTTCATATTTCATTATAGAAAGAGGAAAACTCTACACTTATTCTATGTCTACGTTTACGTAAAAACATTAAAACTAATAATAGAAGAATAATATTCAATTCGGACTTGAAAAAATTAAGTGATATTTATATTTCTTAAATCCTATTTATAATCACCACGAGTCTGGCACGGTAGTGTAAGGCAGGGGGTTAAGTTCCATGAAATAAGAGGATTAATGTAAGTTATCTCCCAGGAAACTGTTCGTAAAATCAAGAATATTTCCACGAATCATTCAATACCAAAATTCAATTATTTGTGATATTGATTTATTGATGACATCAATTTACTCACGTAAAAGAAGCTGCGGTACGTTATAATTAGCAGACTCTTGTTATAGAGAAACTATACAAAATAATACTGAAAGCAACGAATAAATAGATTGAGATAATTACCACACGATATCATGACAAACTCGTGATAAGGGTTTCAAATGAAAATTAACAAAAACAAATGTCACTCAATTCTTCTTGAATTCAAATTACCAGTTAACTAGGTGTATACACTCAATGATTGTACACGTCATTTTGAAACACAAAATTATACTACAAAACTACTTCAAGAATGAATTATTAGTTTTTCTAGTAAACAAGCCAGATAACAAATGAGTGTATTTTTCACACAAATAGCACATTTTCCATCAGAATTTTCGTACATGTGCAAAAATTAATCCACATTGCATTCAAGAAAGTAACATGCAATACGATGCGTTCACGCGCAATACGCAATGACGTCGTCTCCGATCATTCTAATTTATTATTTAGTACACGAAATAATATAACGTTGCACATTGTTAGATTCGTCTCGAAACCCTATTAAAAACTATTACATTATAGAAAAAAGGACATACGATTTTACTTAAAAAAATTAACTTGCCCTTGATATCTCCTCCAGCTATCTAGCTATGAAAATAATATTAATACTGCATAATGTGTCCCTTCATATCAAACAACTCTTATCAGAACATTTATTTTTTAACTTCAATACGTTACGAGATATTCCACCGTACACACTCAAACGACACACCCTGTATATATAAACGTATGAAAAATAAATGGCACGAACTTCTAGGACGACGTAATAGTCATATGTAATAATACACAAAACGCTGTGGCAGTGAATGTGTTCAGGGACAAAAAGCATAATCGTTTTGAAGGTTATTCCGTTCGACAGGAAATTACAAGCACGCCGAATTTTCAGTTTCAATCGAGCGCGTTACCATTGTCGCTGAAGGTATATACACGAACTCGATCGTTCGGACTGTGACTTTAGATCTCAAAGGATTCGATGTGTGGCGCAACTTCACCTTTCCCGTCGTCTTTGCGAGTTCGTTTTCTTTGACGTTGAAAGAGGCTCTCCACGACCCCGTTCTCTTTGCAGACGTGCGTTCTTCCTCTTGAAGTATAGCACGCTTGTGGTAAGAAAATTCACTTCTTGTTATTGTTGTTTTCAACAAGACAGAAGGCCATAGAAGTCTTCTGGAATGAGCTGCGGTTACATGTCTCCATAGCTTTTATCTTCGTGGTATACTTTAAAGTTATTCGAATCAACAAGATGAATGCTATTTTAGGTATACGATTATTAACGTTGATAACTTCGTTTGCGTGATTAAATATAATTTAAATATAAATAAATATTGCAATAATAATAATAGCATAAAGATAGTTTAAATATAGATAAATATAATAATAATATATAGGTATAATTTAACTGTTAATGAATACGATAATAGCAATATTAATATGTAAGTAATAATAATAATATACATATATTATAATTTAAATATAATTGAAATAAATATCAAAGAATATGTCAAAAAGGTAATTTTAACGTATTTACTCGGTACAAGTGACGCGAAAAAAGAAACTCGTGATATTAAAAGTTTCAGAAATAAAAATTATTTACGTATTCAGTGGCTGCGATAACAATTGACACTATAAAATTTTAACTTATTGTACCTGCTAAAACGTGTAAAACAATAAAAACTGAACAATTTTACTTTAGTTTTACGAAAAATCTTTCAGTGTTTATGGTTCTATAACTTCAATTTATAACCATGTAATGTGTACACGAATTCCAAGTTTTCATTAATTTCACATAATAAATTTAATAATATTCATACGATATTAAAAACTAATATTAAGAAAACTGTAATACCGTAATAAATAAAATTTGCATAATTACAGTATAGTGTTAAAAACATGTCATCATTGTAATAGATAAAATTAGCATACGCTTAATAATCCTTATATAATGTATGCTAAAAAAGGAACCATTGAAAGGTCCCTCAAAAAATTACCTGCCACCATTTTCAAAGGTGTAACGTATTCATTGTTGAATGATCCATTGATGATTTTACCCTTCACCTATTCAATGATCGACACGTTTACGTCGAGTTCAATTGCCAATGGCAGGCCTTTCAAGCGGATTCAAAGAACAGTCGCTACGTAGTATCAGCGCGCTAAACGTGAACAAATTTATCAGCTTTCAGCGCGGGGATCGTTCTGCCATGGACAAACATTATTCCGCTTGGTCAAAGTTGTATCGCGCTCGTGGAATTGAATTTCGGTCTGGTTACCCTCTCGCCGAAGAAGCGTATTAATGGAGAAGAAAGCCGGCGTTCGCTCGTTCTACGTGTAATTACAACCAACGTCCGTCTAACTAGATATTATCAATTACAGTTGCTTTCCATTTTGTCCCCTCTAATTTTCGTGCAGTTTGTTAGATCGTTTGCGAAACGTTGTTCTCGACGTGAAAGAGGTAAGCGGACGCGCCTCTATTTCAGAATAGGTAGTGCTCTCCTTTGAAAATCACGTTCACTTCAGTAGACCGTGTTCTGTTTCGATAATCACATCTATTTCGCTATGTTCTTCTCTTCTCTTCTTAATAGATTGGTGAAAATGACCTGAGTTTCGTGTAACTACACAGTCCATATGATTAGTTGATAACGTTCATCTTGTAGATGGTGGTAGAGGAAAAAATGAAAGAGGTTTGCAGCGTTTTCAGAGGAATTACGATGAAACTTAATTTTTTATGTAGAATAGTAAATAATTATTTGCAATGTACGAAAATTGGTACAGAAGTTAATTGAATTATGTAAATTGAATTGATTAAATGTACTTTTAACGAGGAGCAGTTGGAAGCTGTATGAAATACAAATAATTACAATGTCTATAGAACACAAGAATGTATAGAATATAAACGAAGTTATTTAACAGTTATGAAATACGATTTTATGTGTATGATTTGTTGAAGATCTACTAAAAAAGCGTATTTGTAAACGTAATCACTAATCAGACACTTGAAAATTAATTTAAAAAATTGAGACATAAAAGTTTAAAGTCCTATAAAATATTAGATAACTACAAAAGTCAAAAGGAAATACTTTTTCACGTTATTGTTATTATATTTTGCAATATCATCATTATAATTCGCTTTCAATACTGTAGCCATTTTGTGAAAGGTGAAAAAGGGTAATAGAGGAGTACAACCTTTGCCCGACTACCTACATTAGTCATAAACTAGGGTCTGCGTAGAGAGTGAAACCGTTGCAGTTTTAACGGAAAATGTAGAGGAGAAGACCTGCTGTTTTAACGCGAGGCCCAAGGCGTTTTCCTCGACTCGAGGAGTCGACGAACGAACGCCTGAAACAGCGTTCCCGAGTCTCAATAAATTGCATATATAGCATAACGTTTTAATAATCTCTGAGTTTAGCGCCATGCTCGCCATTCCTTGTGCTCCATCCTACAATACAAAGATTTGTTAGATAATTTTTTCTGCAATCTATAATACATTCTCTAGGCTCCTTAGGTCCTTCATCATTTGATCACTACTTATTTCTTCAAATATGAAATCATTTATGCAACAAGGTAACATTTATGTTAATATAACAACTTAAAAAAAAACAGTATTAAACTAAATGTTTGCAAAAATGAAATGCGAAAGTAACGCGCGACATTAAGAAATTGATTAAAATGATAACAAAACGAAATGGAAGCGATTCAAACTTATTTGATCACCTATTATTTATGTTCAATCAAAATGTTTACCATTGAGGTAATACTTATTGTTCATGATTCCAACGGGTCAGTATATTTTTAACGTTGACAGAGTATCCAGAAATTTTCGATCGATGGTTACACAGCTGTGCACGAACACGGGGCAGGGAGGCAGAGGGACAAAGCTGACGCAGGTCCCCCGATTCGACAAGCTTTGGCCATCCTGCGGAATTTCGGTCATCTTAGAGGCGCCGACGTAACGTAAGTTTTCTCTCATGCAGGTCTGCAACATCAGCAAGATTCCGGACGACGACGGTTCCGTGGTTGTAAATCAATGTACACCCGTTTGCATAAATGCTGCCTGGGCTACTTCATTTTTAGAGACCACCCCTACTATCTTGATCTTGATAGCGCTACGAGATTGCTTGGGCGATAAAAATAAAAACGATTGAAACATAAAACCACGTCCACAATCTTGTTCGGGATAAATGAACTTTAGACTTTATTCGGTGAAAATAAAAGTTTATTTTGTAATACTATCTTTATATGTAGTAAATATATATAATACGTTATGTATATAGATATATAGAGATATTGATATATAGAGATATAGTGATATAGTGATATAGTGATATAGTGATGCAGTAATATAGTGATATAGTGATATAGTGATGCAGTGATATAGTGATATAGTGATATAGTAATATAAAAATATAGAAACATAGAGACATAGAGATACATTGACATATCGATGTATTGTATATTTGATATATAGTAAAAACAGCAATATAGTACTTAGCGATAGATATAGAAATGTAGCATAGATAAATGGTGAAATATTATTGAGAAAAAGTGTCTGTTCATAACATTATAAAACAAGAATTACATATAAAAAATTAATTATTTTTTTTATTAAATTTAAAGATATTAAAGTATTTTTTTCTTGAACGTTCGTTCCTGAAAAAATAAAACTTGAAAATTCATGTAAAACGTGTGCACTAATATTTACTAGTATTAGAAACGGAAAGTTATGAATAGACATTTTACCCAATTTATATTCAGCGACACGCGTACTCGGCCAACTTTCGAGCTCGATTTTTCAAATTCTGTTTTAAAGGAAAAAATTTTATTACGCATATTTTATTCCTCTTTGCATGTAGAATAACCGTTGAACCGGTTATATCGTTGTAATATACTATGTGTAATTAAATTTCAGATTTTCTGTATTTATTATATTCTAGTTAATTTGAAACGAACTGTATTAAAAAAATAAATAAAATACAATGAAGTTTTTGTTTTATTTTAGCACTTGTAAAAGATGAAATGGAAAACCTGAATTCTTATTGGCTTTAAATGTCTGAAAACGTATTAACTGTTTAAATGTTAACTATTTTCTCAAAATTAATAAAAAAATTTTAACTTAACCTCTTGTCCTATGATCTATTTCTTAATTACAATCGACATAACGACCTTATCGTTAATAATTTATTAGTGACAGCAAAAATTTGGTGCTTATTCTATGTCTACGTTTACTCCAAAAGTTGAGGATTGATACTAGAAAAGTAAAATTTAAATTATATTAAAAAATATAAATAACACTCAGATTTTTCAAATTCGGTTAATAATTCTCGTCACGACGTCTAACATGATATTGCAGATTAAGTGGTTGAAATTCTAAAAGTTAATTGTCAACCGTGTTATTTTTTGAGAGAAAAAGGTAATATTGTAAAATAACATCACAACATTGATCACAGAAAAATTACGGTGTACGCATTGAAAACAACAATCAATATTTACAGGATCTTTATTTTTGTAAGTGAACAAAGTACGACAGCTTACAACGCTTCACTTGAAATTGTGTAACTCCGCATTACATGGTTACGTATAACATTAACCTCTTAACTAGTACTTAACACGATTAAGTGTGTTCTATTATCCACAGCTTTACGTTTCATCTTGCATATATTGTTCTTATTTAACAGCATTCGTTATATGTATACCTTACCAGCTACTCTACACAATATACACGGTGAATCGTGCCCCGTGAAACAAGCTTTATTATTTTCGTTCTCTGCGAACCAATTAAAATTTCGTTTCGAATAAATATTTCATTTCCAGCAATATTTCAAACATAAAACATAATTTTTTAATATGCAACTTTTTAAAAAATCATAAATATTCTAGTTTATTTTCAAATTTTTTCATGTGCAAGCCTGTAGGCGTTTTTATTTATGTACTGACAAATGATGAGGGACACGAAGCGAGATTAATAGAAAATTTTTCGTTATTTAATTAATCATAGCAGTAAACAATGAAGAACATTTTATTTTCAAGTCAGCGGCATTATCAATCGTTCAAATTTGTTTATAATAATTCAGTATTTCATTCTTAAGGTTCAGGACTGTAAGAAAATGCAGAAGAAAAAATTGGATTTTTAAAGCCGCCAAGACAACGTGAATTTGTAAATTTACAATTAGTAATTATCCAATTCATCGGGTGCATTTAGAATATGAATTTCTATGGGCTTGTATAAACAAAGAAAAAATGGATAAATAGACTTATCAATTACACAATTACCCCATTAAACACTAATTGCACGTAATATTTGCATAAAATCATTTGTAGTTTAAGATTTACATCGTTGAATCATTTTAATAAATAAAACAGTACTTTTAATTGTTCTCTCTAAATTTTTTCTTAATTTCTATTTATTAATAGATACTATACAATTGTATATAAATAAAACTTTTGAGTATGAAAACTTTTTTAAAAAAGTCACAGAAAAATGGAACAATGTTAGCATTTTGAGAAATTTCGATCGATTCGTTAAGATACAAAAAAACAACGAGACACGTTATGCGGTCCACCCTGTATATTATTCACACCCTGTTCTCGCAGATGATTCGGTACCATTTTTATCCCTTCATTCCTATAATATGACTCTTAAAAGCCGAATACTACTTGTTACTCCATTCACACTTTACACTGGTCTCTGATGTCTGGCTCGCAGCACGCGCACACAAATTACAAGTACGAATCAAAACACCGTAAAATGCGATGAAAAATATTACCTCTGGAACGCGCTGAATAGTAAATAAATCCTACGAGGATACAGAATACATTTCCGGGACTTTCGATGATATATTAATTATGACCTCACACTAGACGATATTACAAACAATGTTTCATTCGGTAATCTTCTGCTTATGCTCGATCTTGTCGAACACTTACGAATGCACTGAGATTTTAGAGTATTATTGTATTCGTCGGCATTCCTTTTTTACACAGGAGTGTTCATATTCGTCCACACTCGGAACTGTTGACAATCGTTGATATAAATTAGAAATTAACAGTGAAAAAGTCTTTGAAAGAAGTAATTCTGAAATATGTTCATCAATATTTAAAATAAAATTTATAAAATTCAATTCAGTTAAAATGGATGTAAATCTTAGTAATTTTTATAAATATGGAATTTTATGAAACAGTGACATAAGAAAATTAAAATCTGAAATTACATACAATTAGACAAAATTGGTAAGAGAGAAATGAAAGGGTTTTACTTATCGATAAATATAATTAATTAAGATTCCCATATGAATAAAAAAAGAAGGTGATATACTTTAAATATGGTACCTGTTTCGTTATAGCATTACCATTTAGAGATATTTTTACACATATTAAATATAATCTTTGAAAATTGAAGTTTGCGCAACAAAAACTGGAGGAACTGAATTCTTTATATGTATCGATTCATTCTAAAAACATGTTAATAAAGACTGTAAGACACATTTATTTCTAATTATCAAATAAATACTGATAGTGCCATGGGAATATATTAAATATCGTTTTATCACTTTAGTATAACTATATATGCTATACAAATATAGTCAAACATTTACATTTATCAGTAGAAGTGGCTGCGAATTCACTTAAAATGTAGAATACAATAATGAAGTGAACAATAAAAAGTGTGTAGTTTACTATCATGTTGTTAATGCTAAAATTTATATTTGTCGGTAATTCTCTTTCTCGATATGTAGCAATTTATTAATATATTTAAATTTTGTATTCGCTTAGAGTATCTTAAATATTCTTTTGCCATAAAAAAGGAATTGCTTCCTGTGTTTGTATTCGATCGATATGCATTCGTAACTGCTCAAACAATTTCAGGTGACATCACGAGTTCAGCAACGTGATTGTTGTGCATACATTAACTATCGTAAAACTTACATCACTAAACACGTTTTAGATAGAGCATCCTCTTACGTTTATACATTTTAGTCCCAGGTTTAGGCAACACACGATACCGCCAATAAAATCTGGATCACCTATGTGTTAAATAAAAAATTATTCTTTTCTTTTCAAAATTCGAAATCAGCATGTACGTTTATATTTTTGTCGTGGAAACTCAATTTTATCTTATTTAATTGCGATTTCGAACAATTAATGTATTTACAAGGGATTATTTCGATCTTCTTGGATTGTTAATAATACAAAGTAACGTTATGCTTCTGTCATGAAGCATTTTTAAGAAAAAATGTTCTTCTGCTGCAGATACATTAAATATAGAATGAAATATTTTTGAAATAAAATGTTGCAAATGCTTTTGAAAAAAATGAAACGTTGCTCATTTTACAGAACGCAATGTCTAACAAATAAAATATTTTCTTTTAATACTATGAAGTCTAAATTAGAATATCTAATCTTCTATGATCTCTACAAACAAATTAAAAGATTAGTCTTTAAAAATTCATAGACTATAATAGATACGAGGGTTAGCTGAAACATAATGAACTATTCGTTTTTTAAAATAAGTACAACTATTGAAATGCGACAATAAGAAATGAAAATACAATTCATTACACTCTCGTAATTAGAAATATTAAAAAATAAATAATTATTTGCTAGTAAGAGAGTTATTTATTAACTGTGAACGCAGAATTGAATATAAAAATGAACGTTTCGGACGATTTTCAAACCCTCTTTGCCAAGAAATATTTCTTAAAAAAAGTTTGTCCCATACGCCCTTCTTCTAGACATCTATTCATTTATTTTTTTACATAATTATCGTTACATTTAATACATTTTTGCCAACGTGAGATAAATTTCTTCAATTCGCGAACTAAACATTCTCGAGGTTTACTTCCGATAGTGGAAATTACTACTGTCTTGAATTCATTGTCCGATTTGAAATAAATACCATTTTTACAATTAGCCTAATTTTAGGTTACAATTTTTATAAGGATTGCATGTCAAGTACATTAAATGTTCGGTATTTCCAGTATTAATATTTTACGTTAGGTTTTCGAACATTTATTGTATTTTATTTTATCGGGCCCAGATAAATTTATGTTCATTCATTTAAATCTTGGAAATTAAGGATAGAAAAATATATGATTAGGATACATACGCATGCAACTGCATCAGTCAAAATAGACGTAACCATTTAGCAAATAATGTTTACAAAATTTAATATACGTTAAATTTACGCGTCTCGTGAACCTAGGGTTAACCTTGTAAAAGTATCTCATTCCTACTGCATTCATGTCGAACCTTGATCTAAATAATGCTGTTCATGACTATATCAAGTAAATTTATCAAGATTCAGCATGTTTATAGAGGATGGTTGTAGTTACAAACTGAATCCTCGCATAAACCCGCATCGTATTTTGTTTTCAAGGTATAGACGAAAGTTCATTAATTTTCAGCTGATCCCAATACATGGATTACTGAACTTATTTCGAAGAAGCTAGATCTTGCTCAACCCCTTACCCTATGATTTCTTTCACAACTATACTTAGTAAAGCTACTTTACCGTTAATAATTAATTATAAGATCGTCAAACGCAGTTAACTGGTTAAAATCGGTTATTTGACCAGTCACAATACGTTTAATGTTACCTCATCTTCAAGAGAAGTAACATTTAAATTTGTCAAATTCACTTCAAAATTTTCACCACGAATCTAACACGATATCATAGTACAAGAGGTTAAGATTTGTTAAAAATCAAACATTTAATACAAAATATTGCACTTCTTTAGATCACTTCTACATTTATTGCCCAATTTTCAATTTCGTTTCCAAAGGCAAAGTTTCAAATGATTCATCTAACGTGAAACAGGCTAGACAAGCGAGGTAGAAATAATTCAATCGGTATCTGTACAATTTCACCGCAGGTTAAGAGTAACCCGGTCACCGAGCAATTCAAAGGTTAATCATCTTTATTGACGGTTCGTGGGCGTCCAGAATGAAACGGCGATGAATACAGCACCGAGAAACACTCCGTCTACATACCCATCTCTTACTTATATGTATGTACACACTGCATGCACATTTACATAGACACCCTTATCGTTTACAAATATCAAAAGGATTCGCCCGAGGCTTCGTTTCATTCACCGCCTTCCTTCGAGCCGTTCACCAGCCCAGGTTCGCTTTCAGGCAACCGCGGGCTTTTTTTTCACCACCGAAAAACAGAGGTTGAAAGGCGAACCACGAGGACGCTCGCGAAAAAATAGAATCAATTTCCGGGGCGACGTTGTTGAAAACAACCATTGAGCAAAGGGAAATCATCTTCCAGCCACTCGGCCGACCACGAGAGCCACTGTTCAAGTTCACGATACGTTATTGTTCGGTTGAAAACATATTATTCTACGAAATACATAATTGTACTATGACTATTTATCAAATGATCAGTTTCTTTCCACGAGCGTTCAAACGAAATTATACGGTTCGATTATCTGCATTCACAAAAATCGTTATATAATCGTTGAAAACTTGTGACATGTGGAACTATACGAAATGTACGAATAAAAGAAATACATATCGTTGATAATGTTAACTCATTCTTGTGTCACGTGTAATTTAAGGAATCAATTCATTTCCGGTTTGGTCGAAATATGAGCTTCGAATGTATGAATATTAATAACCTACGAATTATATTTAACCCTTTCATTACCAAGGTTTCATGAACAAGATATTTCGGTTCTACGATGTCGAAGAAATGATGTTATGGACGAGATATCTCGTGTATCTTTATTATTCATATGAAGTGTTTTATTTTAAAATTTAACACAAGTAACCGATTTTTAAGATATGTCATCGTTGGTGGGAGAAGGAATTTTTATTTTTACACAATTAGAGTCTGGTGGATGACAAGAACTATAAATACTACAGGAGAATCGCAAAATATTTCCACTGAGTCAAATAGCTCGCCAATCAACAATACGTGTATCTTAGAGCACCAATATCATTCGAGTATTGCAAGAGGGATAATTGTAATTGATGTAAAAGATCTAATATACAAAAATACAATACAGAGAAAAATCTTATTCAACAATAGAATAAATAGATTGCGAAAGCAATGGCCAATGAAAAAAAACCAGATATTTTTGTAAAAACTGTTCTGTCGAATTATACATTTCACTATGCTTTTAAGCATTCCATATAAAATAAACTATAAAAACCCTAATTGTGTAAAGTACAGAGTATTTTATATTTATCATCTTTAAGCACCTTTCACCAACGATGACATGTCTTAAAAATCGATTACTTATATCAAATTTTCAAATAAAACACTTCATATCAATAATAAAGATACACGAGATGTCTCGTCTATCGTTTCTTCGACACCATGGAACCGAGATACCTCGTCCATTGTAACAAAAGGGTTAATAATACCTTCTTCATGAAACCGAATAAAATAAATTACACCAACAAAAGTAACTGAAAAGCTGCGATTTCCTAACAAATAAATTCGATAACCATATAAACTGTCGCAATAAATTCAATGCAAGTAAGGCCGTTGTAGATAATAAATCCATCTCTAATCCAGACAAACGGTACAAGGAAGCTACGTCAGCGAAGAGATCATTAATAACAGTGTTCACCGAAAAAGAAATTTCCCTTTGTTCACCAATGGATCTAGAAAACGCGAGCTATGATAGGATAACGATCGGCGAGAAGCCCAGAAGTTCTCGACACCGCGTGTACTGTGGTGTAGCCTTTTTAAAAAGCATTTCGTACCTTCTAGGCTCGCTGATGGTCGGCCACGTGGTAGCCGCGGATCCCACGTAGTTGCTGATAGGTCAACGAAGAAACGTCGGTACTGTCTACAGACCGTTGGTCGTTCACTACCCGTGATGGTAGTAGATCTTGTCCTTGCAGTTGCAGGTGGCGCCGCAGAACTTCCGTCGTTCCCGACCTTCTTTCGTGTTCGTATCACAGACCCAGGAACGAAATGTCCTGACCAGTTCGGCGCAGTTCGACCATAGATCGTTGTAGTAGCAGGCGTTCGTGCAGAGCTTGTTGCGCGAGCAATGGTCCTTGCACATGCTGCACGGCTTCCCGGCCACGTACGGGTGACCCAAGCGATCCATATAATTGCCGCTGCAAAAATTCGTTAATGATTAAAACTTTTCCTTCCCTTCCTCTCATTTCTTTTTATAGTTATGTAGGTACTCTTTTTGCTCTTCCATTTACTCTTTGCCTCACGGTTTCTTTTATTTCGTTCAATGTTTTTTTTTACGTACTATTTCATATTCTTGTTTTCCTTTATTTTTTATTTTATTACTTTTGTTAACACTAAAACTACCGAGGAATCGGAGTGATTTATTTCCAGTTTCTTTTATCAGAATTAGAGCAACGCGTTTGTTGAGATTCGGAGGGTTTCCTAGGCTTGTATCTGTGCACACGGATTTAATTGAAAATCTTTGGTCAACGAGTTTTCATCATTCATGTACTTGCAAAATAAAAATTCTAAGGTGGGTCAATTTGATCTGTCCGGCAGTTTTAGTGTTAAGCTTGTTATGTGAATACTTAACACTTTCAGTATTAGTGTAGTTATATTTTGTAGGCGTGGTAGTTATGCTGAAATTATTTTTTTGAGTTTAACATTAAAACTACGGAATAGTTAAATAGACTTTTTGAAATGCCTCTATAGAAACTTCAAGAGTACATATATTGAGACTTCAATTGATTTACAATTCAGTTTTCGTATTTCTAAATTAGTTTTTTTAATAATTCTTAGGAGAAACGCCTGTTACCTTTTTAGTAATTGCAAAAAGAACACATCAGGAATAGATCATTTAGACTCGTCTGGTAACTTTAGTGTTAATAAACTTACACAAAATATTAATTCTAACAGCCGCCATTACGTTACTTTTAAACGCGCGCTAGTTACACAAAATTAACCGAAATCCCAGAAGCTAAAGGAACTTCGTTTGAACTTATACAGAATCTCCTAATTAACTTTATGCTTGGCAATCAGGGCGAGGCTCTCGTCGTTAGAAGAGTAACAAAAGTTACAGCGGGTCCACTCGTAACTATTAATTCAAGCACGACTTGTTGCGAATCCCTTACTAATAATCTCGTATTTATCTAGCTACTTCCGTTCGTTCCAGTTCGGGATAAGCTTCGCCTGATCTTCGTGACAATTAAGTCCTGCGATTCAGCTCGAGGAAAATGCCCAAGTTTTACCGATCCCATGATGTTCCTTTTTTTCTGCGTCTCCGAAGCGGCTAGGAATGATCTTAAGCCAATTTCCAAACGGACCTGAGGCTACAATTAATTTACATTTAGAGTATTTCCCGTGGACTCGGCTATTCCGGTCGCAATCATCGCGCAGTGTTTTGAATTCAAATGTCCGCCACCGTTATCCGGCTTGTATTTGTGAAATTAATTACGAGGATCGCGCCATCGTGGCGTGAAACGGAAAATATCGCCAAAGGCTGCCACGTGATGCGGTTTATTTATTAGTCACGGAGGGAAAATTGTGATTTGAATCTGATTAAACGCTCCTAGGAGGAAATACTGGGTTAACGCGTAAAAAAGATCCACTATAAGTAGGACATAAGGTATTTATGTATTATACCGACTGCCTTTGCTTTTAAGAAATCAGATATTAATGATAATAGTAATAATAATGATAATGATAATAATAGAATATCGGCACATTGTTGACCGGTCACGAGAGTTAACTGATGTTTGCACCTGCATCAACTATTCCAGTTTTTGAAAAACAAGGCAATATAGAATATTGCACAAGTAAGATATTCAAAGTTATATAAAAGATATGTCCAAAGTTTCATTTCAATTCATCATGTATAAATAAAGTATATCAAAATTTATTTAGATTACTTCACTTTCATATTTAATTACGGGATAATAACCTGTAATATGGGATAGCTTCTGCGTAAAATTGCCGCCCAACAATGTGTCAGAAAATCAGATATTAACCAGTTAACAGTGGAATTCTGTTTGAAAAATTACTCATTGTGCGCGAAATTAAATTAAGTAATAAAGTGCATACTCGTTAAACGTAGAGCAAATGTTTCTATAATATATTCTAACGAAGTATCAAAGCAAAACGAAGAATAATTATATACACATTTATCTGAAAAAATCAATAATTGATTGTTGAAAAAATTAGTACCATTTTGCGTTTTAAAACGACGTGTGTATTGGTCGAACGCAGTTATCTGGTCAATGATAACAGTAATAATAATGATAATAACAATTAAAATAAATAATTAAAATATTAACTCTTTGCACGCGAAGCAATTTCAACAGAAACATATTCCCGTGTAAATACATGATACGTGTATAAAAAGAAAAGTTACAGATGTATTTTATTGTCATTGTAATGAAAACGGTTAAATAAATCTCACTAACAGGTTACAGATACACATGTTATAACACATTTAATGACAAAGCTTTACAGTTTACAATGACTCCGCTCCGACGCTCTCGAGTGCTAAAGGTTAATATTGTGTTGTAATATTAAATATTCGGTCATGTAATATGAAATATCGGATTTTGCGGAGAAAAGGGAATTTTATCTGATGTTCTAAAAGATGTTTATTCAATGAAAATATGGTCTATTCGATTCGATACACTTCTGCCAGAGTGTTTTTAATGAATATATCCCTTTTTCGAAAAATTCAGAATGTTTAGAATGAATAAAGTCGAAAGATATCGTTATAAATTATTGTTTCGGGTTTACCATGCGGCTAATTTTGCAAAGAATCACCGAAACAAAATTTTGCAAATCAACGCTGCACAGTTTTTTCAGTCACAGCATTGTCCTCAAATGCTTTGTTCAAATTTTCAGTGGTTTTCGCAGCATTATTTCTAAGTTTGAATTCATATAAAAAAATTACATAACTTGGTGGTATCCATGTTTTCAAAAACGGCACAAGAAACAGTTATTATGGACAATGCGGAAGAACTCTTTTGCAAAAAATTACTCTGATAATCGACGATAAAACTGTTTAAGAGGTTATATGAGAAACAAACGAATAACAATAACAAGAGTACAAACATTTATGAGTAAGAAAAATCCAATATTTCATATTACACGACCTAATAAATTCAAGATGGTCTGTATAATATGCGTAAGTACGGTGTCATATTTCTGTGAACAAAACTTATAAAAGAGAGTTCAATTAATTTGATCAAGATAATAAATACTGCTTAAATTACCTTATGAAAGAGATTTTTTGCACACTGTAACGAGAAAGAAATTGCATCCTGTTTCGCTTGAATATTCAGTAAAACTATTGCTTGATTAAATGAAATATGCAGAAATGAATATGTTCTCAGATACATTCAACTAGTAACACTAAAACTACTGAGCAGTTAGAGTGACTTACTTCGAAGTTTTTATTAAAATTAGAACAACACGTTTCTTGAAATTTTAAGATTCTTTAATCTCGTATCTGTATAAATAGACAAATTTAATTTAAAATTGTTTCCAAAATTGCCTTCGTAATTTAAATAATTGCAAAATAAAAATTCTGAAGTGAGTCAAGTTGACCCGTCTGGTAAATTCAGTGTTAACTACATGCAGACCAAAGTTTACCTCCTATTTACCCTTATCTACCGTGACGATTAAATTACAGCGTTATTAGCTGAAAATTACTTATACATGAAGTAAAGAAACAATTCTCAGTATTCTATTAGCTCACTTCATACCGATTATGTCATTATAATAACGTTTCTCTTTCAATTATATTTAATAATAACGTACCGGAGTATTCTATATTCATCTAAAAATAGTAGATAAACTCCTTTATTTCTTAATTTATTCAACAGTTAATGAAACTATCCATTCAGAAGACCTTCAGCTACTTTTAGATGAACTTAAAATTGTTTTCTGTAGATTTTGTTTTTTTTCATCCGACAGGAACCGTGATATACGGTTTCTACAAAATCCATTTCTATGCTAAAAGCACTTCGAGTCGCTTGAAACTGTGGGCAACTTTTTAATCGGAAAACTTCTTAATTACGGCAACAATGAAATCATTAATGCGCAGCTAGCCTAAGGTAAAATCATACAAGTTCTAATTAGGTATCTAGCTAAGGAAAGAAGGAAAAATATTCACACCGCTAAGAGAACAGTTATAAAAGCGTTTTCGAGTTATTAGAATCATTCTAAACTTAAAAAATTATTTGAAAAATATGAAATGTTTTTCAATGATAGTAAAATTAATATACTATTTTTGCATTGACAGAATCTTGCAAAACATGTTTTACCGTATTTTGTTCAAAACAAGTTTTATATATTACGTACAATATATAAAAAAAATATAATATAATTTTGTGCATTATTCTGAAGTTTATAAAATTTAATTTCTATAAAGTGAACTATCTTAAAGATGTAGAATTGTTTTTAATTCCTAATATTAAATATTAATAAAATTTTTACTATTCCCTATATTCTTATATTTTACTAATTGTGGAATTTAGTTTCATAAATCTCTCGTTCTGTACGCAATAAAATGCAATATGGTAATGGAAATTGGTTGGTTAATGGAAAATTAAAAACAAACACAGAAGAATAACATGTTTATCTGAAAAAAATAAAAAATTCATGGTTGTAAGAAGTAGTATTATTTCAAGCTTTAAGATGACGTGTATACTTGTCAAACGCAGTTAACTGGATAGTATCCTACAAGTACAAACGTAAGTCAATTGAAGTTTGCTTAAACAATTAAAAGTGCAAGACAGGAATTGTGATTATCAAAAAGCACAATAGGACAAAATAAACGATATTTGCATCAACTCTGTTTATGTTAGCTGTTTACAATGAATATAGATGCATGCTAGTATAAACCTATGTAGGTTTGCATGCTAGTATAAACCTATGTAGGAATAGCCTATGTATTCCAAAAGCGTACAAACCTGTATTCAAATGCAATGTACATTACATTATACTAAATAAACTGTTTTAATTTTCGTAAATTAGCATTATTAGAAATTTGTTTATCAGATATTTGTTCAATTGACATTATAAAATTAAATAAACTACATGATCTATTTCAACTATAATTATATCTATCATTGTTCTTAAAACTTTGTGTTTTTTATTGTTTGCCACTCTTTTTAAA